GTACCAAGATCGATATTAACGATCGCATTTATTTTTCATTGAAAATAAAAAGAAAACTTTAAATAATTTAACTTAAGGATTTTAAAATATTCCAAACCTGTACGCTTAAAAAAAATAAATAAATAAAATTAACTTAAAACACAAACAACACGATAGGATATAAAGTTTGGGAGAATAATACTTCTGTACTGTACTGTATTTCTGAAGTGCCATTCGTTTTGGTGTTGCTACAATCAGGAGTTACAATCGATCCAACAAAGGAAAGCACTATCTATTTCCTTACATTCCCAAAAAAGAGGATGCTATTTAAAATTTGCTCTAGATTGAAAAATTAACTGTGCAAAGCAGATTGATCACAAAATCAGAAGCATGATCTCAAACATCAGAACCCAGCTTTTATTGTTTAAAACTGTCGGGGCCCCATTGAATGAAACTACGGTATTATAGTTTATATTATATTTTTTATAATGTCGGGGCCGCCCGCGCCTGAGGCCCTGGCGCTCTAATATATTATAGGCCTAGACTAGACCCAGGCCTCCTACTATAGTATAGAGGCCTATAGTCCAAGACCTTGTTGCAAATCCCAGCCCACATAAGCCTAGCCTATAATCCCTAGCAGGGCAGGGCCGTAGGCAGGATTTTCGATGGGGAGGTGCGTTTTGCAACCGAAGTGGACCTTACGATGGGCGACTGCCTAGGGGTCCCCGTGAGGGTGGGGCGAAACTTCTGGAAGCTCTGGAAAATTAGCATTTTGAGGGCCTTTTTTAATGGATTTCTCAAAATCCATAATTTGAAATATCGCGATTTAAATTTTCATTCATTTGAGTATTGTCTAGGGACCTACAGTAAAAGCAGGAGAAATAGAGGGTGTGGGTGAAGGGAGGAACTTGAGACAGAAAGTCAATACTACCTCAGCCCCACCATGATTGGGGCTGAGGTAAGAAAATTTATGATTATGGCACCTCAAAATGCCCGGAAAGAGGACTCTCAGACAAACTTCAATTATGATTTTTCTTTTTTTCTCAATTTTCTTTTATAATTTTAGGGGGCTCTTCTCCCTTGAATCCACCACTGTGAAATTGTAATTTTTCATGTTCTTTACATCTGTAGGCCTACAGCTATCTGCAATCACTGGAGCTGATAATTTCAGCACATTATTAAAAATCAACGGGTAAAAGAGCGGGCAAAAAAATGTAATGCATACTATAGCATTTCGCGATAATTAGGAACGATTTTAGTGAAATAATAAGTTTTAAAAGTAAACTTTTTGAAATTGGGTGGTCCAGGGGCAGAGGCCTGGAGGGGGTTTGTGAGAAAAGTGACAAAGTAGCATTTTGAGGGTCTTACATAATAGATTTCTCAAACACATAATTCATGAATATTTCA